TCTCTCTCTCTCTCTCTCTCTCTCTCTTCCCCCCCCCACCATCGCCTGCCCAGACAAGACACCACGCGATGATATCATTCACCATCTGCGCAGATCAGCAGGTGATTGATCTCCAGAGGTACATTCCCGAAAAAAAATCAACGGTTGGCAATCGTTTTCCCCTTTTTCTCACTCCCTAAGCGATCATATGGAACCCGACGCGGTGGCCCTCGTTAGATAAAACGCGTATGAACAAGAGAGAGAGAGAGAGAGAGAGAGAGAGAGAGAGAGAGAGAGAGAGAGAGAGAGAATGAAAGAATGGGGAAGAACAGGAGAGCGAGTTAGTGGACGAGTGGAAGGCAGAGACGACGAGTTTCTTCTTCGGGGCCACTGGTGCCAATTAAAGACTGCTGCTGAGAATGGGCGTCCCTCCACTACTCTCCAAATGTGCAAAATGAGACTGAATCTTCCGCTAGCTAGAACATGGAAAGATGCATTGCCATATTTTTTGTCTTTCGTGCGTGTGGAGAGTAGTGGAGCGATGCCCAAGGAGAACCACCGGCGACAACCACCAGTGTACTCTCCTCTGCCTGCCGTTGATCGCTGAGATGTCCTCCTTGGGCGGACATCTCCGACATCTCCTGCATTTTCAGGTTCCCCTGGCTAGACTTACTAGTATGAGCAGACTTCCCCTGCGCACGATCATGCCAGTCTCTGACTCATCGCTCTTTTCGAAAACATAAAACCCAAAAAAAAAAAAAAAAAAAAAAAAAAAAAAAACATAAAACCGCGAACATGCCAACCTCTATGCCGAATGGGGAAGAGATGGGGCACAGAGGTTGACATTGCGGTGCCAATCCCGGCGAAGGGATGGGAAAGAAGAACACGCAAGTAGGCCGGCACTCCACTACCTTCTTCGCCCGAATACAACGTAGGGTCATCATAGCAATACAACGTATTTGGCGTATATTTTCCGTCTAAATACCGCAATAATGACCGTACGTTGTATTCGAGCGAAGAAGGTAGCAGCGGCAGCAGCAGCAGGAACATATATAGCAGCACACGTACCTCAAGCGTGTATGAATCGCCCAGGCCAAGGGCGCGGACGAGACCCAGGCTCTGGTGTTCGGCCCCGGCGGCGCCATTCCCGATGATGAGAGCGCGCCGAATGAGGCAACTGATCCCCGAGTCGAAGATATCTGGAACTCCCACCATGCCAAAGCTTGGGACTCTCACCACTTCCTCCCGCCTTGGGACTTGTCTTGGGACTTGTCCTATACACACACTGCGCACGCAACCGGGATAAACAACAGCGTATCCAGTCTAACAGAAGGCCTGACCAGTAAAACAGAAGGAAGGAGGAAGAAGAAGAAGAAGAAGAAGAAGAAGAAGAAGAAGAAGGCAAGAACGTGTGGTTGGCCCGGGTTCATCAATGAACGGATGCTAGGGACCGGGTCAAGACAAACTATGACGATGGGAATCTTCCAGCCGGGCGGGATTTCCAGCCTCCCCCATGTCCCCGGTGGGTTAACCATACATACCACGAGGAAAAGGAGGAGCGAACCCGTCCGTGTATTGGGGGGGATCCACCGGCGGGAGCTGTTCTCATTCCTACGTCGCTCTCCCGCGTGCCCCTCACCGCTGATCAACCTACTCGCCGACCTCCATCCGGCATGTCAAATCAAAAATAAAAAATAAAAAAAGAAACAAATTCCAAGCACGATCGATATCTCCGCTGCTCGGAGACCGTTGCGACCGGTAGTTTTCGTCAAAACCCGAGCAGGACGGAATTAGCACTCAAGGCAATCGACTACCTTCTGCCAAAAAAACGTGCGCACGTTGTATTCGAGTACCACGCGGGTGGACGGGGTACATTGCATTCGAATACAACGTACGTAAGTTTAGGTTAAAGAACGAGTGTTAGGGTACAAGTTTTTTCCATTTGGGAAAATTGCATTGGTACCCCGCTTAAAGATGGAAATACCCAGTGCCAGCGCTGATTTGCATCTATACCCGAAAAGCGCCGATTTGCATCTTTTCCCGAATTTTGACTGTGAAAATTATTTGCATGTCCAGGACTGAGGTGGAATGAGGTTGGAGCAACATGGGGACTGGAAGGTAAGTTGGCGAAACTGGAAGACGGAAAGCTGGTCCTGACTGACTGGTTTTGGGCTAAGTAGATCATGATGAACCTGGGGCGCTCGGTTCCTTTATCCACAGGAGGATGGCGGGGGGACTTGGGGAGTGAGGAGGGAGTGCTCATAGAATGCCCGGTCCATCTGGTCCGGGCTGTCGCCTTTAGACAGCCGTGGTCATGACTGGTCGCGGAGTAGATAGTTTTGGGGAATTGTTGGGAGTTATGGCTTGTAGCTTCGTTTATTTGAGGATTTCTTGTTTGTTTGGTTTTTATTGGCCTGTGGCAGTCCTTGTTTAGAGGTAGGAATTTCAGGACAGCTGTCTAGATTTGGCCATTCTGTTCCTAGATCTTTGGTCTAGATTTGGCCATTCTGTTCCTAGATCTTTTCAGACCTCTTGTTGGTTTTATCAGTGAAGAATTGTTGACTCTGTTTTGGAGTCCGCAGCTGAAAGGCTGTAAGGGAAACCGGCTGAGTCCGCAACTGAAAGGCTGTAAGCGAAACCGGCTGAGTCCACAACTGAAAGGCTGTAAGCGACTCTTGTTGGGATAACTCCGGGTTGAATTGTGGGGTCCCCGGCCTCTCCTTTACCTGGAGTAAAGTGATTTTCGTTATTAAAAAAATAAAAAAAATAAAAAAAGAATGAGGTTGGCACTGCAAAATTGCTGTCATAACCAACTAACAGACTGCACAAATTGTGGGCATAGGGCCTCAAGGGTTGAAGGAAAATTCTTCTTTCCACCCCTCCATATTGACCCCGCCGTAATGTTTTCACTTTCCTGCTCTCAAGTGTGCATACTTGAAACTCAAGTGCCGCTGGGGCAAAATTGCACTTGAACTCAAGGTACCTCCCAAGGTACCTCCCGGAGGTACTTTGAGTTCAAGTGCCAGCAGATACCACCAGCACTCCAAGAGGGGCTTTCTTTTTGTTTTTCCTTTTTTTCCAGCAGGCAATCCTGGTCCACGATTGGTCAAGTCGTGGAGCTCGGTTTCAAGTGCAGCCTGATCAAGGGTTTCCTCAAGTGTACGTGGAACCATAAATCGTGTACGTGTAAATTAATCACAATTGCTCGTTTAGTGTGCATCTGAAACTCAAGTATTTTCAAATGGTGTCGAACGAGGCTCATACCCAGGCGAAGTTAGGGCATACGCTGGACTGAGGTGGACCGGCCAAATTATTCATATGCCCTCTACGGGATGGCTGAAATCATGCTCATACCCAGCAGCCTTCAGGCCCACAACAGTCCACTTGGTGGGTGTGAGCATGATTCCACGGACTTCCATCCATGGCCCGTTACTGGGTGTGGGTACACCCACAATTTTGTCAGCCTGGATTATGGGCATTGGCATAATTTCGTGCTTTGGAAGCGAGGTCTGCTGGACTGGGTATGCCTGCAATTTCGTATAGGTGAAAAGTTGGGTACTATGCAAAGTTGAAAGCGGTCCGGGTATAGATGCAAGTTCTGGCTGGTATGGGGTACAGTGGGTATTCTCATCTTTAAGTGGGGTACAGATGCTTTTTTTTTTTATGTGAAAATTGTTGAAATCCCCCTTAAAGTTTAGGTATTTAGGCAGATACCCCTGAAAGGTATGGGTATGGCGAAATATCCCTATGACAGCCTCACTTGCCAATTGGACCCGCTATGTTTCAGACATACCCCTACCGGGTCTTCTGCAATAGTCCATATACCCCTATATTTATGGTTGTCGGACCTTTGACAAAAACTTTTGCAAACGCCCCTTTCAGTACCTTCTCGTTTTTTGTTTGTCCCTGTAGCCATGACCGCTATATGCCATTCCCCAAGTTGGCATGTTTCTACAAATGGCACCACAAGTATAGAGCATCTTCAATGCGGACACAATAACGATTATAACGATCTCCTCGTATACCTACAGGTACATCAAATTCTACTTGGTTCACTGGGAGCTTTGGCCAATACCATAGGTGGTGTTATGTACATATATTCTTATACAGGAGGTACATTGTGCCTTAGTTTAGGTTTAAAAAATATTATGTATACCATATTTGTATTGTGGCGTGATGTAATACGTGAATCCACCTATGAAGGACATCATACATCAGTGGTTCAAGTGAGACTTCGTTATGGTTTGATTTTGTTCATTGTGTCATAAGTAATGTTTTTTGTAATTTTTATTTACTTTCTTTCATTCAAGTTTGGCGCCTACTGTAAAAATTGAAGTTATTTGGCCTTCAATTGACATGTTTATAGTTAGTTGAGACCCTCTCTCTCTCTCTCTCTCTCTCTCTCTCTCTCTCTCTCTCTCTCTCTCTCTCTCTCTCTCTCTCTCTCTCTCTNCTCTCTCTCTCTCTCTCTCTCTCTCTCTCTCTCTCTCTCTCTCTCTCTCTCTCTCTCTCTCTCTCTCTCTCTCTCTCTCTCTCTCTCTCATCCCCTTCCTCATGCATACACACACAACCACAATGTGTGATGCAAGTACTCCCGCAAGATTAGTTTGTTTGTTTTTTTAACCCAAATGTCAATATGATGCGAATTGAAAGAAAGAATCTTACAAGTGGGTGTCTTATATTATTTGCAATATGGTATTACATTTTTATGGGATGCTAAAGCCGTTTTGCAGTGGTTGTCAACCACCACCAATAAAAGAGGGTATTCTCAAAAAAACAATGGTACGAAAAATTGTTATTATGTATGCAATAAATCAGCAAAGGCACGATTGAAATGCTTAACTCAAAGACTATACAGCTTTATTTTTTTGAATACTACACAATTTTAAAACATCACGCACGCATGCGACTATGCATTTTCATACGCATTTTTTTTTTCTTTTATACATGATCGTCGTTTGATACAAATGATATACACGAGCATGGCACAAAGTGTGGGGGGGGAACTTGCTTTGAAATAAAATGCGCACACAATACATATATTTATGTTTAAATGCAATAGTGTTTTTTTTTTTTTTTTTTTAATTTTTGCACTCTCTGTAAAATTACTTTAATTTAAAAGAAAAAAACATAAGCATACATTTTTTATTATTTTTCTTTTACGAAACATAAAAAAATAAGAACGATAAAGATAGTTGTGTAAAGTGTTTGACTGAAGAAGGTTTTGGAATAAAATTTGGGTGTGTGTATAAGAGAGTTATAGTAGTATCATGAGACACAAAATTAATGACCGCAAAAAACGTCAGTTATATTATGTTAAAATGTGTTAAAGAGTGAGACATATATTTTTTATCGAAGTAGGTTGTACAACCATACACTAATATTTATGTATGTGTGTGTGTGTGTATGTGTGTTTGTATGAGTGAGAAAAACAAAACTTAAACTACCACTCCCTCTGACGTCAAGAAATTGGGAGGACCGGTAACACATTTTCACCAGGGCTACCGGTAGTACATTGTGGAAAACCGAAAGAGTGTTAAAAATTGAAAATGTGTCGAATTGCATCCGCGATTTATCGTTGCTCCGATCTCCAACATTCACATGGGTCAGTCTTAGACGCTCTACCGCGTGTATACCTATGCTGCTACGATCGAGAAAACGCCCTCGACTTCCCTACCTCTGCGATTGCAAGTGAAAACCTCCGTATGTGGGTCAGTAACTCGATAGGAATACACCTGCTTAAGGATGGTGACAACTCCTTAGGTAAAGGTAAGTTGTACCTCACGGAGTCTTGCCTGTCGCAAGGCCCTGTGAGCAGTATGGTTGGCGAGCACGATTGGAGTGGTATCGACGTTCGACCGCAAAAACATTTTTGCGTGACACGACTGTGAAGGTCCGACGCTCATGACCGCGTGCGGGTCATGCACTACGATACCGTTTCTCACAGGGAGTCACATCAAGTATAACTGAGATTTTGTTTTTCTTTTTCGTAAGTGGTTAAAAAAAAAAAAAACCCACCATGATTGTCTCCAGATACATGTGTAGGGAGCCATAAATAGGGCGAGATACATTCCGGAAAGTGTTTTTTATTTTGAGGATGACACTCCAATACTCTGCGTTTCTCACAAGGAGACACATCAGATACAATTGAGATTTAAAAAAAAAAAGAAAGAAAAAAGAAAGAGAAACTACGTATCATGTTTACCAGACCACAAGTGCAGGGCGATACATTCTCGAAAGTGGCCTTCATAGGGGCCCCAAGTGCTTGAAAGGCCGACTGTGAAACAACATCCCCCCCCCCCCTCGTGTCTTCTGCATCAAACATTTTTGATTTGTTTTTCTTTTCCTAGCAGTTTTCAGATCTGTTTTTTTTCTTTATCTTTCCACTGTATGCTTCATACATTGGGCATGTGGAAACACAAGTAGAATCCACCCGTGAAGAATGCATCCTCTCTATTTGTCCATTTTCGTTGGGCCCACCAACTTTGAGCCTTTCCCGAACCTCGATATTTTGTAGTCAATTTTTTTTCTGTATTTTTCACACACGATGCAACTGCCTCAACGAAGTGGATATTCACATATTCATGAGGCAAGATGGTATTCAGTAAAATATTTTTATATCACTGGGAATGTCCTCCAGGCATCACCATGTGAGGAAAAACGCATCCAGCAGCACCGTTCAACGGCCCAGAGAAAACTACGCTTGTGTGACTTGTGTGTGTGTGTGTGTGTGTGTGAGAGAGAGAGAGAGAGAGAGAGAGAGAGAGAGAGAGAGAGAGAGAGAGAGAGAGAGAGAGAGCAATGGCTTCGAGGCCTAAGGAAAAGATGATATACATGGGTAGCAGTATATCGAAAATGAATTGGGGCCTTGGAAGTTAGTACGTACTGGGGTATTTTGAAAGCTTTATTGTGTACCAGGAAGGGGTATACTGCACAGATGAGCAGCCCAACAGCCAGGAAGGACAGACATCTCACAAAGGTTTTTGTATTTACCAGAAGGGTATCCCGTTCCGCCTCAAAAGAAAAAAAGAAAAAAAAGAAAAGGAAGGGAACGCGAGGGCGACGGCCTTGAGATGTCATCATCTCATCAACTGATCGGCCCAAGTAATTCAGAAGTGGTTTATTTTGTTAAACCAACTGCATCTGGATTCGAACTTGGGGTGTGCATTTCAACAGTTCGCAGGTGCACCACTTGAGCTACCATAGGCCCGTGGGTGATCGCGAGCTACTTTCTATCGCGCACGCTTACGCTTTCTCTTCAGCATCTCCCCGTCTTGTTTTATTTCTCATCTCTCATCCGTCCTCACGGCTTGTCGCGCCTCTGTCTGGTCTGTTTTGATCGTCTCCCGCGGGATCTCTCGTGTCGTTCTATCCTTGCTCGGCCTACCGGTAGAGGCACCACTTGGGCAAGGCGGGGTGTGCCTCATCGAAAATGACGGCTATGGCGTCCTCGACGATGGCGACCGGGCGACTGTCAGCTGCGCTAGGCGCATCGTCGACGATGCCATGTACCACTGGGGTGAGGCGTGCGCTGCACGGACTTCTCCCGCGAGCCGTACGATGCCTTCGGCTGCGATGTTGTGGACAAGGGCGGTCAGGAACCGGTCCCGACCAGGCTCGACTGTCGAGTGCCTGGGAATCGATCACCGTTCCTCTACGGATCAGAACCGGCAAGACGCGGGCGATTCCCGGTAGGAGAAGCGAAAATGTGGCAGGGGTAAGGGCGATGGGTCTGAGCAGTCGGACTGAGGTTGTGGTGGATGACGACGCGTTCGCGGACTACAAGTGCAGCACCGCTTTCTTGTTTCCTGGCCAGGTAACCTCTTGCGAGGGAGGGAGGGAGGGAGGGAAGGAAGGGGAGAAGGGGGGAGAAGTAGAAAAGGAGAGAGAAGCAGAGAAGGAGAGAAAATCAGAGGAAGAAAAAGAAGCTGTAGTTGTATGGAGTGGGCGGGAAACGTGTAGAGGAAGGGCGTGGGTTGGGGCGGGGAGAGAGGGTATTTCTGGAGATAAAAGATAATTGACCCTTTCCTGATCGAAACCGAGCACAGTACGGCCGACGTGTCGTCAATCTGGAAGAGCAATCAAAGAAATACCATTCGAACTAATTAGTCAATCGTTCTTCTCGCAATAGCTCTGAATGACTCAGCGACTCAGCGGCTGACCAGGGGTTACGTTGTTATGTTCCCTCCTTCCGCTTATCTTCCGGATTGAGTTTATTTCTGTCTTTTTCCTCCCTCCCTCCCTCCCTCCCTCCCTCCC